GATTGGGGCACAAGCAGACGCTGCCACAGCCCCCGCTAAAACAGGGGGTGGAGAAAAACACCAAAACCCCCACTTTTACACCCCCAACCCTTAAAAAAAAAAAAAAAAAGCAGGGTTTTGGTTCATCCCGCCCGCCGGCAAACTTATATTTTCGGAGAAAACTCAAGGAATAAAAGCAGCGGAAGGCGGGAGGGGGTGGGAAGAACTCGCCCGGCAGCTGCGCGGGGTCCTGGGTTAGCGCTGTCGTTGTCGTCTTCAGGGGGTGTTTTTTATATTTCTTGGAGTAAATGTTTAAATAAAGGACGTCATTGTGTACCCCCCCGCGCTCCCCTCGCTTTATCCGCCCCCGCCTTTATGTTTCTTTTCTTTTCTTTTTTTTTTTTAATTAAAATTTAAGTCATTTAAGCCAAGCGCGGGGGATGCTTTGTCCTCCCCGCATCCAGCATCACCAGTCCCTCCGAGGGCACCGTCCTCCATCCCAGAATATTCCTTCCCCCCATCCCAAATATTTCCCTTCGATAGTTGCAGGCGGGCTGCAATCTCGGGGCGGCGCATGCGTAGCTGTGCGCTCGGTGCGCGCGCGGCTGCGGGTTTTTGTTTCCCCGCGGCTGCGGTTGGGCGCATGCGGGTATGCGCTTCCGCCGCGGACGCGCATGGATTTGTGCAGCTGTGTGAGTTTTAGTGTGTGCATGCACCGTTTTACGCGTGCGTGCGTGGTTTTGCACACGCAGTTTTTCCTGTGCATGCCTGGCTTTGCACGCATGCGGATTTTTGCACGTGCATGGATGGGTTTGTGCATGCACCTACGTGCTTTTTGTGCCTGCGTGTGGCTTTTTGTGCGCACACGTGCATTTTCCTGCATGCACCTCTCTTTAGGCATGTGCACGCTTGCTTTTCCGCATGCGTGCGTGGTTGCTTTGCACACATGCCCCTTTTTTCGCATGTCTGTGGACACACGCATGTGTGGGTTTGTGCGCACACGTGCATTTTCATGCGCTTTTTTTGCATGCATGCAGGTGCATTTTTCTGCGTGCAGCTGTGTTTTTGTGCATGCACACACATTTTGGGGCACGCACCTCTCGTTAGGCGCACGCACGCGTGCTTTTCTGCATGCTTGCGTGGTGGCTTTACCTGTATCTCTTTTTTGCATGCCTGCATTTCTGTGTACAGATGCACCTGTGACTTAGTGCGTGCATGCAGGTGCATTTCCCTGCGCGCGCGTGTGTTTTTGTGCCTGCGCACCCATTTTTAGCGCATGCCTATCCCCACGTGTGGTTTGGGGGCACGCACACGTGCATTTTCGCACATGCCAGGGCGCATATAACCCCCCGCAGCACGTTTTTTTTCCTCTCCCCTTTAACCAAAGTGCTGCAGGGGGCAAAACGCTGTCCGAGCGGCACCGCGCAGCATCACCGAGAGG